CAAATAAAACAACAAACAGTGATAAGAAACAAGACACCCGAATAGGGAAGTGTAATGTAATAAACCAAGCTGTACGGATATTGTGAAATTAAACTTTTACTACCACTTACAAATATAATGTCCAGAGAACGCGTTGTGCAATGCATCTACTCGACATTTTCAATCCCAAACAACATTAAATATCCAAAATAGAACAGAAGAACCCATGTGGCCTACACTTGTTACATTTACTGCTGTGCCGCCGGTAACTGCAATATATCAGGAGCTATAACATCTATGCCTGTACTTTATCAGATTGTAGAGTTTAGCAGGCCAATTCAATAGCGTTGCTCAATAGAAAAAACAACAGACTGCGATGGAAAATTACCATGGGAAGCATATCAGACATAGTTTATGAAATGTCCAAGGTGAATGTTTGGAATATTAAACAGAAAGTTATTCATCTTTTTTCTCACTTGTACAACCAGATTTAAAAACATTATGTACCTTCCAACATAGAGCCGGAACAACAATCAGGTATACTTAGGTGCTTTATCTAATAGATGTGGAGTGCCACATCAGAAGGATGATTCTAAAGCATAGTTAACGCGTAAATGTTAGGATGAAGGACAAGACAATAACCGAACATCCTGAACATGTGTAAAGACTTGGGTAATTAACGTTGGTTACGTTAAATGTGGAACTTGAAAAAATAAAAAGTTTTTCTTTGTTATCATTAAATGGTTTGGAATTCATTTTACCAAATAATCCAAACGAACCGGTTCAAATATATTCACAACAATATCAATATAGTATTTTGAATGTGTTATAGAACCAACTGGTTTTTACTAAAAGGATATGAACTGGAATGTGTTTAGCAGCTCGAGAACACGAATGCAGAGTAGATCTCATTAACGTTATGACCGACCGACACAACTGAATACTTAGCATCTCAGCTTTTATATGTTCTTGCGCTGCTTTTTGAAATTGATGAAGAATTCTACGTAACACCAATGTAGTATTTCTAAACCCAATAAAGTAAAATATCAAAAGACCGAAACAAATAACCAGACACACGTGAGAAGATTATCCTAAGAAGATTAACATTGAGACACACGTGAGGACAGTATGACTAAAAAAAAGGTTCTGACGTACATGAGAACAGTGGCCTGACGAGAACAAATAGTCCCAACGAAAATTAGATAAATGAAAACGAACTCTCTTTAGACTTGGCAAATATAATCTGATGAGACAGATCTCAAGGCAACGACAAGAATGCAAACCAAATGAGACTTAAGTCTTACTTAAGTGTTACTTTTTGTTGAAGTTCGTGCAAAGCTACTTGAGGGCTACCTGCACTAGCCGTCCTTAAGTTTGAGGTGATAGATTAGAAGGAAGACGTTTAGTCAACAACACCCACCGCCAACTCTTGGCTACTCTTTACCAACCAACAAGGGGATTGACTGTCACATTATTACGCTACCTCAGCTGAAACAGGGAGCATGTTCGTTGTTGTGATTTAAACCCGCAGATTTGGAGTTGAGCACCCTAACCAGGCTAGAAATTACGAGAAATAAAAAAGTATGCTATTCGTGACTTTTTAAACCGGTTTTACTTTTGACGCAAAATGTGATAAAAATGTAAAAAAAAAATTAAAAACACATATTTTGTATTTTTAAATAAAACCGTATTTTGCAAATTGAAATAGTTCTGTGTTGGAATCACATAAACAATGTAAATGCATAGAATACTGGACTAAATCACGACACTGTTTATAATGTAATATTCTGTTCAAGCACGTAAGGAAACATTTGGTCCAATACGATAATTCTTTTTTCCATGTGGTGTATTATTCTACCAAATAAATTACAATCGATCATTGGAGAATCTATGAAATTGTATAGGACAAGTGCTACGATATCTTTAAACTAAAACCGTTATTTTTCAACACTACTCTGAACACCAAATACCCATTATTGATATCACTGCTAGTGTTTATGGTAATAAATTGTAGGTGGGATGGAATCGCCCTCTAGTGTTTATAGTTAAGAATGAAACTAACTTGATGTTTTATGCAAAGTAATTCATGTAGACGAATTGAAGCAATTTCTAATGTTCACTACCTGACAGTTAACCTAAACTGGTGTCTCTTGTATTGATGGTAATGTCCTAGACTGAAACAGAAAGACCTTTAATCTCAAATTTAAATAAAACAGATTAAAAACCTTTTATATGGTTAAGAACTTTTTTAACTTGAGCTAAATTGACTTCATTAATCATAAGGACATTATTTTTGATTTTTTAAATTATGCTAATACATTTCAGAGAAAATAACAACGACTAAACCACGTGTTACACAATACAATCTGATAGTATATACATTTGACTGGCTTGATCAAAAGTTGTTGTTGTTGTTTTTTTTTTTCAATACACGTCGTTACATCCTCTGTACGTGAGTACGAAGGTTGCTAACATACTACAGTGGCATTCAGAAAGAACGATTATGAGGCTGATAATCAGTTAACTTTTATCTTATGTAGCCGAATATCTGCGAAAATCAACATATGTTGTTTGACCAAGATGTACACCATCTGACATGATGATATGACCTTAACCTGTGTGAGATTCTTAAAGGTGGCTTCAAGGACAATAACATGCCATGTTTTTAGCTTGACAGTTTCCATAACATAACAACCAAGTAAAATATCTTGCATCTTACACTTGCTTCCACACATTCGAGATGACCCTCTTTGGATTTAATAAGTGTTCATGATAATATTTAAAAAAAAGACAACATGAAAGCTGTATTCAATTTAATTGGTGCAGATAGCCACGTTGCTTTGCGCCAATAAACACCACACACCAAAACAATCAATTTAATTTGTCTGTTTGTCCGTTGTGTGGAGCGGGCCTCCGAAAACCCCATTTTGTTTGTTTGTGTTAAAGCAAAGCCATAACTGGGCTGTCTGCTGGGTATATCGCGAAGAATCGAACCCCGTATTTTAGCGCCGTCCCACCGGAGGACACACAGTTTTGTGGCTTATTACTACACCATATTCACAACTGAACTTGTGTTTTCCTCTTACTAACTTCAAAAAAATTTTTGAACATCTCGCTGTATAACATTTCTCATAAAAAAATATGTTTTAAACGTCTATATATTAATAATTAACAGATTGATTATATATATATATATATATATATATATATAGACT